CTGGGTTGGGAAGTTCCGCGGGAGAAGGGATAGGCTACCCACTCCAGTATTCTTGGGCTTCCCTTGTGGCTCAGCTGGTAAGGAATCCGCCTGCAATTTGGGAGACCTGGGTTAGATCCCTGGGTTGGAAAGATCCCCTGGAGAAGGGAAAGGCTTCCCACTCCAGTATTCTGGCCTGGAGAATTCCATGAACTGTGTAGTCCATGGGGTCATAAAGAGTCGGACATGACTGAGTGACTTTCGTAGGAAATAAAATCTCTGATCTTCAATCTGGAGTGAGCCAGGGTTTCCCTCTGGTCATTTACCTCTTGTTTTAAGGTTAGATTTTACACTCATTAAAACCACACCTGTACATAAAGAATCAAATCATGCTGTGAGGCTTGTATTAGAAATTCAGGGTCATTCTTCCACCCCCATGCTGGTTTCCACCTCCCAGCAACACCACTTGCCCTCACCATTGCTAAACCAAGTGGCTGCTTCTTGAATGATTTTAGCTTTAAGCATTGTCTGTTGACTCAGTCCACTCATAGCCGGGAGGCTGAAAGTCTGAGACCAAGGTGGTGGCAGATTTGGTTCCCAGCAAGGACCTGCCCCCTGGTTTGTGGACAGCCACCTTCTTGCTGTCTTCATCCCAGAGGAAGCTCTGGTGTTTTCTTCTCGCCAGGGCAGTGATCTCGTGATGGGGGCTCTGCCCTCATTACTTTATCCAAACCTGAACACCTCCCAAAGGTACTGCCTCCAGACGCCATCACATTGGGAGTTAGGGCTTCAACACAGGAGTTTTAGGGGGACAGCAGATATTCAGTCCCTAACATTTGCTCTCACATGAAGATGATGGCAAAGGGGTTCATGGCTTGTTTTCGTGCTCCCTCTTCCACCACACACAAGTGCTCCAATTGCCCCAGGATGGCCCCCTGGTGGTTGATCCGCCTCTGGTTGTGATAGTGTAAATATTGTTCTATGCACGATCTTGTGTGTGATCATTTTTCCTGTCCAGTCTTTTTTTTCTCCCCTGGAGTTGGCAATCTCTCTTTTAAATCATTTCTCACTACTTTATCCTAGACTTTCTCCCAGTCATGGAAGCCTCAGCTCAGGTAATCTGTCAGGTTCATGGTCTCAGTGCTACTCTTCTTGGGCCTCTCCAGGTTTCCCTCCATCATGGTCCCCATTCTTTAGGCCTCTTTGTTGGTCTGAGGTTTTCCCCTTTTGCCATTTGCTCCCTTGTTTTATGGGACCACGTCATTTTACAGATTCCTGAAAAAAGGTGTGTGAGACATGAACTTTTAAAAGAATTCCCATATTCTCTTCCCCCTGATTTCCCCAAGTTAACATGTTGCCTCATTTGCTCTCTCGTCCTCTCTCTCTGCCCCCCTGCCCTGTGTATAAATATTATTTTTGCCAGAATTGTTTGAGATTTGCAAACTGACTTTTACTCCCAAATGTCCAAGCATCACTTTCCTAAAGACAAGACATAACCACAGAACAGGGATGGGAATGTGGGCACGGACATGGACACGGGACTGTTATCTGGTCTGTAGACCTAATTCTAATTCCCCATTTATGCCAAAAATGTGCTTCATAGAAAAAGAAAATCCCAAGTCACGTATATTCAGTTTCCCAGTAAGGAATTCGTCTTCCATCTTCGTCTTTAAAACTTTGACGTTTTGAAGATTATGGGTCAGTTGCACTCAATAGGGTTTCTCTGGTGACTCAGATGGTAAAGAATCCACCTGCAATGCAGGAGACCTGGATTCAATTCCTGGGTCAGGAAGATCCCCTGGAGGAGGGACTGGCAATCCACGTCAGTATTCTTGCCTGGAGAATCCTATGGACAGAGGAGCCTGGTGGGCTACAATCCATGGGATCTCAAAGAGTCGGATACAAGTAACACAGACACATTGCACTCAATTAGTGTGGAAGATGCCTTTTCCTTTTTGTGTTAAGAAAGTATGTTAAGTCTCCCTTGGGATCGGGTTGTTGCTCCCCAGGATATTTTGGGATTGCCTCATTTCTTCTCAGAAGTGCCCTTTCAGGATCCAGTTATCTCTCCTGAGAAGACACCCCTCAGGACCAGGTAGTCACTCCTCTGGCAGTCACTGTCAGGATTAGGTCATCACCTCTATAAGTTTCCCAGGCAATTGGTCTTCTCTTTAGAAAGTCTCCCTGAGGATCAGGTAATCCGTCTCACAAAGTATACCTCAGGATCAGGTCATTCTTCCTCTGATAGAGTCTCTTAGGACTCATAAGCTCCCTCAGATAATGTCCCTCAGGAATCTTCAATCCTCAGGAAGTCTCCCTTCAGGTGGGCTAATCCCTCCTGAGAGTGCTTCCCTCAGGATTGAGTCACCCCTCCTTTGAAAGACTCCCCATTGGCTCATTTTTCATCCAGAAGGTCTCCCTCTGGATCCAGTCATCCCTCCTCACAAAGTCTCCCACAGGATCAGGTCATTCCTCTTCCAAGTCTCCCTAAGGATCAGATCGTCTCTCCTCCAAAGGCTCACCCAAGATCAGGTCGTCGCTCCACAGGAAGTGTTTCAAAGATCAGGTCTTTCCTCCTCAGAAGATCTCTGTCAGAACTGAGTCATCCCGCCTCAGGAAGTCTCTCCCTGGGTCTGATTATCCTCATCAGAAAGTCTCCTGAATCAGATCATCCCTCCTCTGAAATTCTCCCTGAAGATCGGGTCATCCCTCTTGAGACTGTCTCCCTCAGGATCCCGACACTCGTCCTCAGATAGTCTCCCTCAGGGTTAGGTCATCCCTGCTCACAAAGTCTCCCTGAGGATCAGGTCGTTCCTTCTCCAAAATCTCCCTCAGAGCAGGTCATTCTCTTCAGAAAGTCTCCCTGGGAGTTGGATAATCCCTCCTCAGAAATCCTTTCCATGGATCAGGCTGTCCCTCCGTAGGCAATCTCTGTCTGATTTGGGGCGTTCCTCTCCAGGAAGTCTCCCTTAGGATTGGGCCATCTCCCCTCAGGAGTGTCATCCACCTCAGGATCAGGTCATCCCTCCTCAGAACGTCTCAGTCAGAACTGGGTCACCCACCTCAGGAAGTCTCTCCCAGGGTCTGATTATTCTCCTCAGAAAGTCTCCTTCAGTGATTTCCCAGGTGGGCCACTGGCTAAGAATCCACCTGCCAATGCAGGAGACATGGGTTTGATCCCTGATCCAGGAAGATGGAGCTGCTAAGCCTGTGAGACGCAACAACAGAAGTCAGCCTCCGTTAAGAAGCTCATTTCTTTGCAACCCCGTGGACTGCAATGCACCAGGCTTTCCTGTCCTTCACTATCCCGGAGTTTGCTCAAACTCATATCCATTGAGTTGGTGATGCTATCTAACCATCTCATCCTCTGCCTCCCTCTTCTTTTGACTTCAGTCTTTGCCAGTATCAGGGTCTTTTCCAGTGAGTCAGCTCTTCGCATCAAGTGACCAAAGCATAGGAGCTTCAGCTTCAGCAGCAGTCTTTCCAATGAATATTCAGGGTTGATTTCCTTTCGGATTGACTGGTTTGATCTCCCTGCTGTCACAGGGACTCTCATGAGTCTTTTCCAGCACCACAGTTAGAAAGCATCAGTTCTTTGGCGCTCTTTATGGTCTAACTCTCATATCCATACATGACTACTGGAAAAACCATACTTTTGACTATACGGACCTTTGTCAGCAAAGTGATGTCTCTGCTTTTTAATGCACTGTCTAGGTTTGTCATAGTTTTCCTTCCGAGGAGCAAGTGTCTTTTCATTTCATGGCTGCAGTCACCGTGTGCAGTGATTTTAGAGCCCAAGAAAATAAAATCTGCCACTGCTGCTACGTTTTCCCCTTCTGCTTTCCATGAAGTGAGATAGTACCTTGTTTTTAAAAAAATCCTAACAAAAAATAAAATAAAAAATCCTAACAGTGTAACATTTTCTCGTAGTTATTAGAACTACAAAAATGTTCGTAACAGCTGGTTAACGTCTCATCCTATGGTCTTTCTGTCATTGCTTAAGTTATCCCAACATTGAGCACTTAGCATCCCCCCTTTTCTGAGCAGATAGGAAGGATGCTGAAATGGACTTATGGTTCATGTGAAGCATGTGACCTTGGGAGAGGATTCTGGCCTGGCAACATGAGCCTGGGAGGTAGAGCCTGTGGAGCCTTTTAGGGGCGGCTCTGAGAGGGAGAGGACACGGCCTTCTGTGGTTGTTTTCCTTTCTTAATTAATATGGGAAAGACTTCCTGAGCAAATAGCTGGGATGCCCAGTCCCCTTGAGTCTAATAGTCTGCCTGCGCTGGCCTCTGCAGGCAGCCCCGGCCCGCAGCGCCCCCTTGTGGCTCCCTGTCTCGGTCCGCTTCGCCGCCGGCATGGGAATGGCAGAACTTGGAGCATCATCTCCAGCGTGGGGAAAACAGCCCAGCAAAGAGGAAGAGGCTGTAACTAAACAAACCAAGCAAGAGAAGCCAAGCCCAAAGGCTCAGGGGCTGAGCGGGTAGGGCAAGGCCCTCATCTCCACCCCACGTCCGGATGGGAAGTGTCTACGCAGGGCCTCCTGGCTGGTCTCTGGGAGCCTCTCCCATACTCCCACGTGGTGACCTTTTCTGCAGCCTCTGTCCGTATCCTGGTCTCCAGGGCCACCCCAGGTGCTGTTCCCAAGTGGCCATTCTGGAGAATGCCTCCCCTAGGCGTCCCCACCACATGGCCGTTACTTACAGGTCTCATGCTCTCCAGACTCCGATCCACCCTCAAGGACCCTGGAAAACAGGTCCTGCAGGCTGTGGATTTTCCTCTGCAGAGAACCTGGGACCTGTCTGGGTGGGGCTGGGTGTGATGGACCCTGGCCCTGCAGGGCTGCGGGCTTGGCCCAGGGATGTGGAAAGTGCTGGGCCCTGCTGGCTCGGGCTGTGAGGGGGCAGCTCTGCTGATGGCACCACTGGGCCTCATGAGCTGTGGGATGGTGCCCTTGAGCCCCCTTGAAGACCAACCGAAAACACACTATGTTCCCACACTCACGTCTGCTTCTCCTTCAGATGCTGGATGAGAACCACCACCTGATCCAGTGCATCCTGGACTATCAGAGCAAGGGCAAGACGGCTGAGTGCACCCAGTGAGTGGCCGCACTGCCTGCACCCCTCCCAGCGCCTCTGGGGCTTGGTGGCCTGAGCGAGTGGGGCTGCAGGGTCAGCTAAGCTGCTGAGTCGGCTCCCCTAGGTGGCTCCCCACAGAGAGGTGGGCGGGTTTGGAGGGAAATGCAAGTGTAGGGGAGAAGGGACCGCTGTGGGGCCCAGGGCTGGGTGTAGAGTGGGCTAACAAGCTGCTGTCATAGATGCTGTTGCCTCTTCGAGGGCTGGGGTATCAAGTGAGCCCAGTGCCAGGGTCCACTGATGAGGCTCACTCCCTGGCAGCCCCTCCTGCATCTCCCTGGCCCCCAAGTCCCTCTGACCCACCCCCACCTCCATCCTCTGAACAGACTCAGTGGTCCCAGGTTGGGGTATCCCTCCCCACCCCCAGCCCTTTCTGGGTTGCAGAGCGCTGTGCCACCTGCCCGTTCACCCCACCCCAGGGCTTGGCTGTAGGGCTGGGGAGGCTCCTCCCCTCATCTACCCCCCTGCCTGCAGATACCAGCAGATCCTACACCGGAACCTGGTCTACCTGGCCACGATCGCAGACTCCAACCAAAACATGCAGTCCTTGCTGCCCGCCGTGAGTGCCCACCAAGGCTGGAGTGGGGGGCCGGGGGGGAGGTATAGATACCATTGGTCCAAAGCTGCATGGCTATCTGGTTCAGATCTGGGAGATCAGGGTGCCCGGGTGGGTGGGGGGTCACTTGGAAGCTGCATCTTTAGTCCTGTGATCAGAGATGGGGCTGGGAGTGGAGGAGGAGCAGGGCACCTGGAGCCTGAGACTGTAGCACAGGACAGGCTGTGCAAGGGCTCGGGGCTACCAGGGACAGAGACCCCGGCCAGCTGAGACCAAGGCGGGCAGGGAAGGGGGTGGAGAAGTGAAGTGGACGCAGCTGGGGCTGGTGAAGCAACTCCCTGAGTCCCAGGAAAGGGGGGCCCAGCTTTGAACCTCAAAGTGTGTGTTGATAACCTGGGGGAACACTTGGATCTGAGCTGTCCAGCTGTATGAGAGCGGTAGTCTGTCTTAGAGACGTTTGCCAGGCAGCCAGCAAATGTGGCTCCAGGTCTTGGGGTGGCTGAGTCCCTGGATGAGACGGTCTAGAGGCCATTCTCTGTGTTAACCCTCCTCCCGGTGACCTTCCTGTTGCCACAGCCGCCAACACAGAGCATGACGCTGGGCCCGGGAGGGCTGTCCCAGAGCGGCTCGGCCCAGGGCCTGCACTCGCAGGGTAGCCTCAGCGATGCCATCGGGGCCGGCCTGCCACCGTCCTCCCTCATGCAGGCCCAAATCGGCAACGGTGAGCAGCCCCGGCGCGTCGGGCTCGGGTTGGTTCCGGGAAACAACCGGGTCACCGACTGGGCTCCCGAGTGGCTGGTGCTGCGGTGGAGATGCCCTCTTCCCAGAGGCCCTGCTGCAGGCACACGTGCGCGGGTGACACAGGGAGGGGTAGGGCCCTTGTTCCAGCCCCAGATTGGCTGTGACCCTGCAAATCAGCGTGCGTCACCTGGTCACCTGAGTGCACAGGTGTCCTGTTCTTGGGTTGAGAGTTGGTAGCAGCCATTGGGACGGTTGATTAACGTGATGGGAAGCAGGCCATTTCTTTCACTGGTTGCGTCCTTGACCATGGTCAGCCTCACCCCTGCACAGTCACCTGAAGGAAGCTCGGCGGGGAGGCGGGGGGTTCTTCAGAGCTGGTCTTCTGTGGGTTTCACACCCCCTCACCCCCCACAGGTCCGAACCACGTGTCCCTGCAGCAGACAGCGCAGAGCACGCTGCCCACCACCTCTATGAGTATGTCGGGCAGCGGCCACGGCTCAGGGCCCGGCTACAGCCACTCAGGCCCTGCCTCGCAGAGTGTACCCCTGCAGAGCCAGGGCGCCATCAGCAACTATGTGTCCCGGGCCAACATCAACATGCAGTCCAACCCAGGTACCGCCCCACTCTGCCCATGGCCCCCTCCTCTGGCAGCTTCCTGAGGGGCGGGGCTGGTGGGTACAGGCCGGGTGGGTGGGGGGCTTGGCTGCTCCCACGACAGCTTCAGGGGAGGCTCTGAAGGGTGATGGCATGCCCCACCCCGCGCTGGGAGGACAGGGTAGGGCTCCCACAGGCAGGAGGCACGCAGGGCATGCTGAGGGGTGGCAGGAGCCCCGCTGGGCAGCTTGGGGCCTTGAGCACTCAGGAAGCATTGCATCCAAACTGGGGTGCCTCGTGAGTTTGAAAGGTTAGAGCAGAAACAGAGCGTATGAAATTTCTCCTTGCTTCTTGTTAATTACATACTGAAAACAACCTATTTGGGATATATTGAGTCAAATAAAATGTTGCTGAAATAGATTTTCACCTGTTTCTTTTCATTCTGTGATGTGGCTCACATACCTTGTGCTGGACAGCGCTGCCTGGAGGGTCCTGAGCAGGGGGGCAGGAAAGAACAGGCAGGGGGAGCCCCTTTTGAGGCTACAGTCTGGGGAGGGCAGGGCAACAGTTTTCTCTGGGACCAGAGTGGGGGCTGCGTTTCACATTTTATGAGTTGTCCAAAGGCAGTTTGGCAGGAAGGGTGACGTGGCCCCCTGAGGGGGAGGCCTTGTGGAAGCTTCAGCCTGGGGTGAGGGTGCAGGCTGGTCTGGGGATGGAGGATGCGCCACCGGGGAACTGCTTGGGTTACTGGGGTCTGTCGTGTCCCCCAGTGTCCATGATGCACCAGCAGGCAGCCTCGTCTCACTACAGCGCGGCGCAGGGCGGGAGCCAGCACTACCAGGGCCAGTCCATGGCCATGATGGGCCAGAGCGGGCAGGGGGGCGGCGTGATGGGGCAGCGGCCCATGGCGCCCTACCGGCCCTCCCAGCAAGGTGAGGCCGCCCTCGGTACAGGGAACCGGTGGGAGGAGGGCTGTTGTGGGAAGCCCGGCTCCTGGGGGCTGGACATGCAGGGCCCCGTGTCCCCTGGGTGGGCCTGGTGGGGTGTCCTCTGAGTGGGACCATCTGGGAGGTTCTGGGGCTCGGGAAGGTGATGTCAGCCCTGTTCCCCCAGGCTCGTCCCAGCAGTACCTGGGACAGGAGGAGTACTACGGTGGTGAGCAGTACGGCCACAGCCAGGCCGCTTCGGAGCCCATGAGCCAGCAGTACTACCCCGATGGTGAGGCCCACTTCCTTGGCATCTGTCCCCACTTCCCAGCTGTTCCCAGTTTAGCCCCAGCGCCCCCGCCAGCAAAGCACCCAGAGTTCCCTTTGAGGGTAGGTGCTGGCCTCTGTTGAGAGAAGCTTCTGGCACTGGGCTCCCTGGGGCTGGGGACACAGTCCTCTGAATGGATGGACATAAATGTCCAAAGGATGGACACGAGCTCGTGGTGAAGTGCCTTCAGGAACGTGACAAACCTGAGCCAACTGTATGTCCTGTAACACCCACCTCCCAGCTGCTCAGTTACAACTTCTGCAGGTTATTTTCCTTTTCCATGTCACCGTTCCGGCATCTTTAAAATCAGGGTTTGTGGAGATGGCTTAAAGTGACCACAGAGGACAGGTGGGATTTGGGGAGGACCCCATGCAGGGATGTGTGACCATGTCAGGCAGTGGGCAGCGGGGAGGTGGCCAAGACCAGAGGGGTCATGCACTCCGATGGGAGCCGGTGGCAGGATGGTGACCACATAGCGACATTAAGAGCTAATGGACACGTGTGTGTCGGACATGGGGCACCAAGTATGCCCTGTAAGCCTTGGCTTTTGGCCCCAGGAGCAGGTGGCCATCTGCACTTTAAAGGAACCTCGGCTGCCAGACAGCAGGAAGCGCCCCCACAGGCTCCGTCTAGGACACGGGACCCACATCCAGTGGCAGGCTATCCTTACCTGATGGCTGAGTCCATGTGGTCTTTCCCGGGTTTGGGAAGCCAGGACCTCCGCTGACTGCTAGGCGTCCCGTTTCCTTGCAGGACACGGCGACTATGCCTACCAGCCGGCGTCCTACACAGAGCAGACCTACGACCGGTCATTTGAGGACTCCACGCAGCACTACTACGAGGGCGGTAAGGCAGCTGGCTGTGAGCTCCAGGCCCAGTGTGCACAGGGCCTGCAGAAACGGGGCGGGTGCTGATAAAGTCGCCAAGGTGATGTCGCCAAACTGATTGGGTGTCAGCTGGCCCTGGGAAGGACTTCCTGCTGCCCCCAGGAAGCCCTGAGAGGAGAGGGGCCACTAATAAGCTCATGGGCGATGTGATCCAGGGCCCCCAGTCTGCTGGTCAGGAGTGGGGACAACGTCAGGGCTGCCAGTGGCCCAGGAACGAAAAGACAGATGATACAAATGGAATGAGTGACTAGAAAATGTGACTTTGGGGGTGACCTTTTTTTAATTGTAGAAACACATAACATTACTGTTTAGCCATTGTTAAGTGCATACTTCAGTGGCACTAGTGCACGCTGTGATGTCACAGCGTCATCTCCAGAGCCTTCGTCTTCCTGAACTGACCATCTGTCCCCAGGAACACTGCCTCCCTGTCTCCCATCCCTCTCTGGGAAATCTGGGCTCAGCCTCCTCCTCAGGAGGAGCCCCTGCCCGCCTTCCACGCTGCTCACCAGGGCAGGCTTGTCAAAGCCTCAAGTGCAGTTTGTACCCTCGCTTTGGGTTACAAGCGCTCACCCTCCGTAATTGATGAGGACTTTGCTAAAACATCCAGTGACTTCTTTTAGGGCAGGTGTGGCAGACGGCATGGTTTCCTCCTGGATCTGGAAATGTTTTGTTCCACCTGGTTAGTGACCCCCACACAGGACCACACACGGCACTGGCCATGCCTTGGTGGGTGGCTTGCCTGGTGTTTTTTAGGTTGGGAGGTGGGGGTGTCTCTTTCAGAGGAGTGGTCTGTGCCCTGAAAAAGGCAGGGGTGTTGGGCGGGGGTAATAAGGGGTGGCTTGAAACCAATGTAAAGGACTTTGCCATAACTAGCTTTGTCCCCCAAGGGAATAAGGAACCTTAAGAGACACGGGTGGCTGGTCCTGGTATTGTTCACGGGAGGCAGGCACCCTGCGGGTTCCCTGGAGTGAGAGGTGCCGAGAAGTGGCCCTGGGCACAGCAAACTCAGCTGGGTGGGACAGAGTTGCTGTCAGGGCCACTGCAGAGCCCTCCATGGAAACCCTGGCGTCCCATGGGCATTTCCTCTCCATGAGGTTTACAGGAGCAGAGGCTGGACACAGCCAGTGTCCATTGTGACATGTCCAGAGCACTGCTGTGGCAGGTCCCCCGGGTCACACCAGGTATGCAGCACCAGGGTGTCTGGATGCTGCCTTCTGTGCAAAACAACGAGTGCTAAGAGCACACCCACCCACCAAAAACAGACAAGAAATACTGGGGACAGTGATGGAAGTGACTCGGGGGTGATAAGGCCAGGCCAGGCGGGTGGTGCAGGCGGGCCCTGGACCTCTCCATGGTGGACTGGGTTTGGTTTTAGATTTCAAATTGCATCAATGTATCTGTCCATTTAGAAGTCAAACTTCGAAATATTAAACATTATTGGCTGTCATTGGAAATCAAAGCGCTAGCCCTATGGCTGTGCAGATCTGCCCTCAACCCCCAGTCCTCGGGTCGATTCTCAGTTTCTCCCGATGGCAGTGGTAACTGTGGGTGGGCATTCAGGACAGCAGGGTGGCTCTGCCCCAGACAGCCGCCACTCAGGCCCCAAGGCTCATCTGTGCTTGACGACAAGGTTTTATAGACAAGTCACCATCATGGGTTTGTTCCTTTGTTTTGTGGCCACATTCCTGCCACATTAATAACACCAGCCTCTTCTTTCACCAATGAGTGTTTCCTTTTTTCATGGCCACATCACAGACTGTCGCAATAGTCTTAAAGATAGAAACAAATGAAAAGGAGCAGAAAAACGAGGGAAGTTGTTGTCTCTGCCCCAGTGGAGGGAAAGCCCCGGGTTGTTCTAGGAAGGGCAGAATCTGGGTTCCCTGGCTCTGCTGCTCCCATAAGACCCTCTTGAGGATCCCTCAGGCATGTTCAAAGAGTCCTGCCTCTTGTTTCAGAGTTGTCCAAACCAGCCCATCTTCTGCTGGGGTTTGGCCCTGGGTCAAGGGAAGGTTTTTCTGGGTGCATGAGATCTGCGCTGCGTTCTTACTCACTGCACACTTGCTGTGTCCAGGCCTCAGCGGCTGCTGTTGTAAATTAGCCCCTTTACCTGTTACCACAGGAGGAGAAAAGGGACTGTAAGACATGAGAATGTGCAGATGGGCCCCAAAACTCTGCAGCCCTGGAGAAACCTGCCAAGTCTCAGGAGACACAAGGACAGTGAACCCTCATCTCCACCAGTTGCTGACACCTCCTTGGCCATCGGCTGTCCCGTTGGTCATTATTGCTGGGACCGGCCATGGTTGTGAGGAGGGAGCAGGGGTCAAGGTGTTTCCTTAGATGGTGATCAATCAGAAAGACCCAGGAGGGACTTCCCTGGTGGTCCAGTGCCTAAGACTCCGCACTCCCAGTGCAGGAGACCTGGGTTCGATCCCTGGTCAAGAGACTAGATCTCACCTGCCACAACTAAAGATCCCACGTGCCGCAGCACAGCTAAGAGCTGGCTCAGCCAAATAATAAACAAATAGTTTTTTTAAAAGACCCGGCAGGCTCCTCAGAGCCCACCTTGGAGAAAAGTTTGCCCATATTACAGAGCATGTTCCTTTTCTTTGTGTGCAGCTGGAAATGGACTTCCTAGTGGGGTTTTGAGCCTTTCCACATGAATTTGCTCTCAATAAAGCTGTTATTTTTAATGTACATTATTAGGATCCCAGTTTTTAAATACTTACAATTTATAACTCCTAGAAGAGGAAAGTTATTTACAACTGGAAAAATAATGTAGAAAAATGGGTTGTTTGGATTCCATTGTTCATAACCTGGCCTCTTGTGACAGTGCCTCTGTCTCTTACTTCCAGAATATGTTTTGATTAAAGAACAACAACAAAACAACAAACAGCTCTCCTTTCTGGGCAGACTGTTCACTGGCTCTCTGATGCCACAGAGGAGTAAACACTCCTGGGCCCCCTGCCTCCAGCTGCTCCTGTTAGAGGGTGGGGTCTTATGCAAAGTCAGACCCGATATACTGTAAGTTAAAGGGCAGGCACTGTGGTGTTGAAGAGCAAAGCCCTATTTGAAAGAAAACAATGAAACTAGGCTTAAATTGGTCTTTGTATAAAAGCACTATGAAAACTGAATGGCATTTAATCTCTGCACCAATCTAAAACTCTTATGACCTGCGTTAGGAAGACTTTGTAGAAATATTTTTAATTTTTATTGATTTTTAAAATTTTATTTAAATATAGTTGATTGACAGTGTCGTGTTTCAGGTGTACAGCAAAGTGACTCAGTTATATTTATATATATATATATATATATATATACACACATATATTTACATATGTACTTTTTTTAGGTTCTTTTCCATTGTAGGTGTAGGATTTTTAAATGGTTGTTTACATTTGCTCTTAACCCTTGATAACTATTTGTTAATATGCTTACCACTCTCTCAAATTTTACTATGAGCTTTCTTCCAAAAATGAGGCTTTTAGCATGGGTGCTGGCTGGTTAGGTAAGATTTTTGAAAATGAGAATTAAGGCATTTTCTTTGGAAAAAAAAAGAAAAAAACGAACCTAAAACATCTCTGGGACTATACCCACATATAGATGAAGAATACAGAGGTAAATTTCTGCATCTTTTCATCCATGAAGTCAGAGGAAAAACACATTACAGGTCTGAACTGGCTTGCACATTTGCCTGTAAAACGAAAGTGCACTGAAACGTATGGGGTCTCTTTGAACTGTGGAAGTCACACAGCCTTTCCCTGTGTGTGTGTCCAGATCTCCTTCTTATAAGGACACTGGATTAGGGCCCAGTCTAATCCAGTATGGCCTCCCCTTAACAATTACATCTGCAAAGACCCTCTTTCCAAATAAGGCCACCAGTCCCCGGGATCAGGACCTCAAAGCCCTGGTATCGGGCTTTGTTTTAACTGCAATAATCTTTTTATTTTGGCTGTATTTTTGTATTTCTATCAGTTAGTAAGAGAGAAGTGTAATAAAGTAATTTGTATTGTTGTGGAAAAGAAAAGGTACTGGAACAGTAGAGTCAACTCATCTATAGAACCCAAAGCAGCCCATACCTTGGGGGATAACGGAGCTGCCGTTGCTCTCTGGAAACAAGCTCACGTCTACTTCCCTCTGCAGGAAACTCACAGTACAGCCAGCAGCAGACAGGGTACCAGCAGGGCACGGCCCAGCAGCAGACGTACTCCCAACAGCAGTACCCCAACCAGCAGAGCTACCCCGGACAACAGCAAGGCTACGGTAAGGTGTGGGGGGGTGGGGGGGATGTTGCAGGAATGTGCTCATTCAATGGGTGCCTGCACACTTCTTATTTTGGAACAGCTGTAGGTTTCCAGAAAAGCTGTGGGGAGAGCTGATGATTCCCCGTGGCTAACCTCTCCTGTTCCTAGCACCCCATGGTCACAGCTAAGAAACCAGCCCTGGTGCATGGCCGTGGACTGAACCCAGTTTCTTCAGATCTCTTGGGCCTACCTCATGTCCTTTCCTGTCCTGGGCTGTCCGGGGTCCTACAGCTCCTTGGGTTGCAAGTTGCTCAGACTTGCCTTGTCTTTCCTGACCTTGGCACTTTGAAGAGGGCTAGGCAGGCATTTTGTAGACCCTTCATCAGGCTGGCTTTGTCTGGATTCTGAAAAGAAGACCATGGTGGGGAAGTGTCTTCATATCCCCTCCCATGGGTGTGACTTGCCTCTACTGACGCTGACCGTGGTCATGTGGTTCATGGCACCTGCCAGGCCTTCCCACTGCCCGACTCCCTCCATCCCCACCTCCAGACTGTGGTGTCACTGGGTCCATCCCCACCTGAGGAGGTATCATCCACATAGATTGTCCAGGAAGCCTCTCCAGGGAAGATAGGTGTCTTCTCCCCTGTTCACTTAGTTATTGATCATATATTTCTATTGGTAGGTGCTCACAGGTACTGATGTTACACATTGGGTTATGATCCAAGCTTCTTTCTTTTACGGTTCAAGCTGTCTCAGCCCTGCTTCTCGGGAGCTTGGGTTGGTGCCTGTGGCCCTTGGACGTGCCCCTGCTTTTGGCTTTGGGCATGTGCTTCTTTCTGGGACCATAGCATTTCCCCTGTCACAGCCCTTGAAGCAGCTGGTTTTGGAAAAACCCCTCAGCCTTTGTCAGTTCCACCTACACTGTCCACTTAGGCTTCAAGGCACCATCACTGTCTTGCATGTATTTTCGCCATTTGCTGTGCATTTAACTCGTGTTTAAAGTGATAACTGTGACTGTGTAAACTGGTCCCAGGAAGCAGGTCTGAGAGCGGCATAGCTGGAGCCATGGGGGTGTAGCAGGGATGGCCGCCAGCCGTGGTGCTTTCACTGCTCAGGTTTAATGTGGAGGAAAAATGGGTGCCGCTGTCTCAGGGGCTTCCCCAGTGGCTCAGCTGTAAAGAATCCACCTGTAATGCAGGAGCCACAGTAGATGCAGGTTGGATCCCTGGGTCGGGGAGATTCCTTGGAAGAGGACATGGCAACCCACTCCAATATTCTTGCCTGGAGAATCCCATGAACAGAGGAGCCTGGCGGGCTACATTCCATTGGGTTGCAAAGAGTCAGACACGACTGAATTAGCACGAATGCATGTCTCAGGGGCTTGGGAGGACCTGTGGGAGAGGGCGTTGGGGGGGGTGATCTCACGGATTCTGCTGTGTTCCAGGGCCCGCTCAGGGTGCCCCCTCACAGTACTCCAGCTACCAGCAGGGACAAGGCCAGCAGTACGGAAGCTACCGAGCATCTCAGACGGGCCCGTCCGCCCAGCAGCAGCGGCCTTATGGCTACGAGCAGGCAAGCCTTCTGCCCGTTTCCAGACCTGCGCCCCGCCTTGTGCATCACATGTGACAAAAGTTTCCCCTGTGGCCACGAGGAATAATAAAGTGGGACAGGCTGGCTCCCCAGGTTCCTCCAGAACATGAATTCTCTGAGCCTGTAAGGATTTTAAAAATTGCCACTTCGGTCAGACACAGCTGGCTCTTTGTGTCCTAAACTCACCTGGAGTCTTGTCCAGGCATGTTTCCCTCATGCCTGGCAGCGTCAGTGTCTGTGGCGTGCCTGCAGGTTATGGCACCTGGGCAGATTGTAGAGCTTGCATCTTGCCTGTCACAGTCGGACCTGTCTAGGGCAGGAGCAAGGCAGTAGGTGGGAGGAGACGGGTCCTGGGCACTCTGGAGTCTCCTTGGAGGACGGTCCCAGGCAAGAGGTGACTATCCATCAGTGACTATGTGGTAGGTCAGAGGCACTAACGACCGTTTACATGGCTAATAAAACCTTAAGGCACTGTGTGGATTAGGGATGTTTTTCTCTTGGTACCTGAATAGGTAAGGTCCTGTATCTCATTATTTAAATACTTCTCACCCTGCTCCCTAAAGAGAGATACAGAATGAGTCAGTTATATGTAGAGAATGAGTTTTCAACAGGAAGTAAACAAGCCCAGGGCAGAGTCATTAGGGGAGCAAACCTTATTGGCTTTTGGAACATTCCAGTGAGCGTGTGGGAAGTGGTGCCAAGGGGAGCGTGCCTGGGGAGCCCGTCCCAAACCTGCTCACAGCAGGGTCCGGTGGGGATGTGTCGGGGGTACCTGGCCCAGGTGCAGCGCGGTCAGCTACTGTGTGACCACGTGAACCAGCCTCTTCCACACACTGACCTAAGTAAGTCATCTCAGCCTGGATGGTGGCTTCCAGAACATCAGCTATCCACCTGCCTCATGGAAACAGGCTGAGGCATTTGGTCGCTGGCCAACCATACCCCGTTCACCTCTCATCCTGGGTGTGGGCTGGGGTGGGATCTGTCTCATCCTCAGGTGTGGACCCTCTCACGCAGACCTGTTGGAGTATAATCTGTGTCTTGCTCTCTTGCAGGGCCAGTACGGAAATTACCAGCAGTGAAGGACCCACATCTGTGAGGAATCCTGAGGTGGCATGTCCGCCCAGGATGGACAGGCCAGTGACAGTTCTGAGGGGCTGTGACCTGTAGGCTGCCCCTCGCCTCACGCAGCGTCTGCTTGTGAAGCGCACACATTTCATGCGGGGTAGGACACCGAGCGTGCACGCTGGTGCCAGATGGCGCTTTGATGGTGTGACATATTTGGTGCTGTGTATAGTATTGTATGTTCATACAACGGAGAGGTTGTCCCTTTTTGTCCCCCCCTCCATGTTTCTAGCTAGCTTTAGGGGTCCTTTTGTCATTGGAGTCTTCTGTGCCCAGTGATGGGACAGACCTACCAGAGGCCACAGTCCGCGTGCTGTTATGAACAGACCTGAGGTCTGACTCTCATCTCATGCTTGTACTGGGGGTCCTAAACTTGTCTCTCACTGGCTGCACTGCCCCTGGCTGGCAGCCTCTTCCTGGGCCTCAATGTGGGGGAGGTAGGGGAGGCATTTTCTGTGGTTTGCATCAGTCTCTGTTACCCAATGGAAAGGATAAATAAGCTTCACTTGGAGAGGCTGTGAACCTTTATTTCCAGAGCTGGCTCCTTACCTGTGTCTCTCACAGGTTCTGTTTATCCAAAAAGTTACACATTTTTGTATTACAAAGTAAAGAGGGATCAATGACTTTGTTCCAAATAAGTAGGAATCCAAGAAGGCAACTGTGATCAGCCTCACCCAGGGAGAGGGGTATTACTGAAGGAAGGAGAGGGTAGTCCTCTGGAATTACTTCGGGTTTGACCCAAAGGATGGGTGTTTCTGGAATTTTAATGTGTAATATGCTCAATTCTAAATTCATAATTTAAAATAGTGACACCAAATTCTCCAAAGAGTTGACAAGTTATTTTATACTACTTCTTCTGGGACCTGCTTATTCAAATCTCCAAGCAAGCATTCCTTTTCATTTAGGAATATCTGAAATTCACATTTTATTTTTAAAGAGAACACCACTGATTTTACTGTGTTCTTCTTAAAGAGAAGGAAAGCTCTTACGTAGAGAAATTTGAGTCATTTTTACATTCCTAGGACATTAAATGCCATTTAAATTCTGCACAAATGTTAAAGATAGCTCATGTGGAAAAGTCAAGTCAAAGGAAAAATTCTACATTTCACTAGTAAGTCATACAGACATTTTATCAACCTTTACTTGGATAATAATACCCATATTTATTATGGCCCCTTTAAAAACATCTTTGGGTAAATGCTGACATATTTCCAAGAACCAAGAAAAAAAAAAAATCCAATTCTTGATATCTCAAGTCTACTGAAGGTGATGTTTTAGTGAAGTCTTATGTTTTAAAATTTTAAAGTAGTACCTTATCCATAATTGGATGCTTTGCAGTCTATAAGACATTTTTAATGTGTTTCTAGCGGAATGAATTCTGTCCCCACTGGGAACATGGAGACAGTTACTGTTGCTGTTTTACAGATGAAGCACCAGGGCTCATTGAAGGGAGAGCTAGGGTCCAGTACAAGTCCTGTTGTAGGACATTCTGCCCTCTTCTGTGGAGACAGAATCACACGGACAGTGGGATATGTGTTTATTTTGTAGACTTTCGGGTTTTAGAAACCCTTTACACTAGTAAGGGCTTAAAAAATACACCTCTATATTAAATTACTTAAGTGAGAGCCCTTAATTGCTAAATGACACAAACATTAGCAATTTCAATTTAGGGAGTCATTTCCCTTCATTTTGTTTTGTTCTTTCCTGACAATTTTCATAGAGGTAATTTACAAACTCAATCGGGGATTAAAATTTCCCGTTGAAAATGTTAAAAACATTTCAGAGAACTGTGAAAATAGTTTATTTTTATTCTTTGCCAATATGGGAATATGCCTTTCGTTGTGTTTTAAGTGCTGTATTAATACTTTTTGAAGGAAAAGGACACTTGAAAAAAACTTATCCCAAAACTTCAATCTGAAATGTCTTACATTAAGAATTTCTTGAATGTTGTTGTATATATTTTAAAAAGCACTTTGTGAAATAGTTTGTACATTTATTTCCTAATTTATACATGATTGTTGGTGTTAATATATTTAATGATTAATAACAAAATGTTTATTTAACGTGCCGTCCATTTTTATGTAATAATGGGGAGTGATGCCAGCGGCTCGTCACTCTCTTGTGTCTCTTCTGTCTGCGGAAGCTCAGGCCGAAGCGAGTCGTCCGCGCGGCGTGGTCGGTGCCTCCTGGTCTCCCGGCTGAGGTGCGGGAGGCCGGGCGGTGATTCCGCCCCGGCCGCGTCTGGACTCTACACCTCCGGCCCGGCCCGGCCCGGCCGGCCGAGCATCTCTCCCGCGCCCAGCCGGAGCCTCGCCTCGGCGGTCGATGAGCGCCGACGGCCGCTCAGCCTTGGAGCCAGAAGTGGGCGTCTGACCGTCCGGCCGTGACCGGGCAGATAGCCCCGTCTCGTTCGCGAGCACAGGCCGTCCCGGGACAACCGTCCTCATCCGCCGTTTCTCTCTTCAGTCGGACTTTGGCGTCTTAAGTTGTTTTATGCCTTTGGTGTGATTAATAAACTGGCTCTTCGAGAACCGACCTGAAGACTGAGTTTTCGTGAGGTGATGGGGAGCCGGAAGCCGCGGTGGGAGAGGGTTGCCCGGCCCGGGATCTCGGAGTCCCGGGGTTCAAAGGAAACGCCCGCCCGCTCGCTCGCTGAAAACCCTCGTCGGCTCCGTCCTGATGCCCGTAGCCCCTCCCCCTCCCGCACATGCGCGCTGGGGAACACTGCGCAGGCGGGGCCGGTCCCGGAAGTGACCTCTGGAGGCGGCACCGGAAGTGACGTGTCCACCCGGGGTGGTGAGTGTGGGTAGCGTCCGGGTACTCGTGGGAGAGGGTAGGGGGCGGGCGTGGGACCGAGCGCCCTCGAGTCCCCGATACGGGCTGCCTGCTTCCGTTCAGCCCGCGTGGGCGCGCTCCGGCAGCCCGGAGACGCCCTTGGGCCGAAGTCCTCACGGGTGGTGTTCTGTACTTGCGGTGGCGCGGTCGTACAGAACAGTGTAAGCGTGAACATACGTGGTAAACAGTTCTGCAGAAGCAGCGTCCTGCTCTGAGGGCAGCTCGGGGCAGGCTGGACTTCCCAGACTCGTCCTGGTCGGGCACCCCGGTCCGTCCAGCTCGCCGGCCTGTCAGGAGGGGGCTTCCTTCTGTGGAGGACCCTTCTTGAGACACCAGCGGAAAGGAGAAGACGCTTTTAAAATAGTTCTCAGGCAGATAGATTTTAGCAAAGGAAACGTTCAGAGTTAAGGAACACGATATTGATTCTTTAAAAATGACCCTTGCCTTGGTTCACTGGACGGTGGTCGCGTGTGTGTCCCGCATTTGAAGAACACTGCTGTGAATCACGGTGCAGCGAGGACACTATGTGACGTGGGTAAATGACAGCCTCTCTTGAGTCTCAGCCTTCACTGCTTTAAAATGGGCGTGCATGGTGCACTGGGAAGACCCAGAGGGATCGGGTAGAGAGGGAGGTGGGAGGGGAGGATCGGGATGGGGAATACATGTAAATCCATGGCTGATTCATGTCAATGTATGACAAAAAAACCACTACAATACAAATTGTATTTTACAAATGAAATTTTACAAATGAAAAATAAAATAAAATGGTCGTGCAAAATGTAGGAGTCCGAAATCCTGGCACAGTCTCTTGAGGACAATTTAAGGAGGGTGTAAAGGCCCCCATTTGAAGGGGAGCATTCAGGGAAACAGCAGAGTTGGTGTTTTTATCTGGAGCTGGTGACAGTGGCGTTGCTTCGGCTCCTGGACACCCGCAGGGTAAGGAGAAGGACCAGGACAGAGGAGCATAACATGGGCTCCTTGGCTGTCGGTGCAGCCTTCAATCAGTATCCAGCTGTTCTGCTACTCTGTCCAGTCTCTGCCCAACAGCAAGGCAACAAGGGTGGTCCTGCAGGGTATTCTCTTGAAACAGCAGGGTGGGAAAAGAGTCTCGAAAAGCAAATGGGAAAAATCCAACATGTGGTGTTATCCCTCATAGGGTTGTAAGGAACAAATGGGTTTGTTTGGGGGGGGGTGGTTTGGCCTCGAGACTTACGGGCTCTCAGTTCGCCGGCCACAAAGTGAACCTAGGCTTCTGGCAGTAAGAGCCTAGAATTCTAACCACTAGGCTTCCGGGCAACTCCTTCCAAGTGGCATATGGGCTAAGAGGGCCTGACTTGGGTGGAAAGTGGCGAGTGAGGTGAGAACTTCTTTCGTGGGCTCATTTATTTCAGAAACATACATCAGGATTTTTCTGGCCCAGGCGCCCCCACTTCTTTAGTTTCAATTTCATGTACAGGTTTAAACCAGCTGTCTTATTTTGCCAGTTTGCCTTTGTTAAGGAGTCATGATACCTTCGAGGCTTTTCTCAGCGAGACCCCAGGCGGTGTTGGAGGGTGTGGGGTGCTGGACGCTGGCAGCCCGCATGGTCCCTGGACCCAGCCGCCGCCTTCTGCTGCGCACTTCTCCCAGGCTGCTCTCAGTCAGCTGTGCAGACTGCAGCAAGCACCAGGAACCCCCCAGGAAGCAGCCACTCTCGGAGAAAAAACTGGTGAGACTTCTAGAAACCCTGAAGGGATTTGCCTCCAGTTTCCTCATCGGAAGTCACAGGGTGTAGTTTTGAGCTCCCATTACCGTGTCTTCATTTATCCTTGAAATGAGGACGTGAGATGAAGGCCTGTGGATACCAAGTACTGTGCTGGCCAAAACTGTGGCAGCCCCAAGGTGGTGCCCAGTGTGCTAGAAGTGATGACCCTTCTGGGTGTTCTCTCCCTTCACCCGGAGGGTGCCCAGACCCCCGTATCACTAGCCTATGTGTCTGAGATAAGTATTATATATATTCTTAAATCCGTGGAGAAGGGAACGGCTACCCACTCCAGTATTCTTGCCTGGAGAATTCCATGGACAGGAGAGCCTGGCAGGCTACAGTCCATGGGGTCACAAGAGAGTCAGACACAACTGTGTGACTAACACTTTCACTTTTCACTTTCATATTCTGAAATAGGTGTGAATAGTTCTTAATTTATATCATTGGAGGGGGACGCATAGACATTTAGTTTTATAGTTCTCAAAGTCTCACACTTTTTTGTTCTTCTATACCTACTTAAAATATGAATGATCTTTAATCAGAGTGAAGAACGTACATGTTTAAGACCACTTTGTTTTCTCCTAAGTAGGGGGTTCCACATGAGGCTCATTAGGGCAGAGAGTACTTCCTGTGGAAAAATTACTTTGGCAGTCAGCAAGTGTCCTCAGATGTATCAGGTTTTCATTGGTTATGTCTCCTCCCTAGAATGTAAACATTGACTCTGAGTTTTATCTTCTGTACAGTGCTCATCAGTTGTGCTTTTTTCCCATCAGGTTGCTTTCCATCATGTTCAAAATTATGCATTGTGTTTTTGAATAGTAATTCATGGTTTTTCCATGTGGTGGTGCCAGAGCATCATAACATATTTGTGTGTTTTCCTTTTTTAAAAAAAGATCTGCTTATGAAAATGCAGATGCCTTGGTCCCCACGGAGGGGCTGTGTGGGCTGCCACATCTGCTTGTGCGCCCCTGTGGGAAGCAGGCAGGCTTCAGGCTTCTTGGGACAGGGCAGCTGGGCTGGGGTGGTAGCCCCAACTTGCACCCTGGCACCTCGGGCAGCTGGACATCTTGTGCGAGTGAACATTTATTAAACATTAGCCTGGTTGGTTAGTCTAATTCTTTAGGTCGGTTGTAGCTTCCTTAGGGACCTGGAGAAGAACTTGCTCACAGATTAGAGCTCTGTTTGCATCACCACGTTTAAAAATGTGGACCTACTCAGTTGGCCAGAGAAGACTTCTGGTCTTAGCGGGAAGCCTGGCAATGGTCCAGGGAGTGTCCCTCTCAGTGTCTCGTGCTGAGAAACAGAAACTTCATTAGTAAAGGTCTGTTATTTCAGTAGTGTGTTTCTATTTGAAAAAATCTAGGAAGACGCTTTATTTAAGGAGTGTCTCCTGTGCTGTGCTGTATTTAGGTGGTTAGTGTCGCGTTTGTTTCTGGGGTGTGTATTCCACGCTGACCACTCTTTACATCTGCGTCCTCGATTTCCATTTGCCTATAAATAGCAGTGACTTCTGGGAACTCTTTCTTATATTTGCATTTTAGGAGAGATTAGCAATGTTAGTATCATTAGCATCTAATTTTAAAGCTCTTCCTAGGTAGAAAAGATACCTTTCAAACGGCTACTTGGTCCTTGCAAGGACTGCGGAGTTAATACCAATCAGGGCACCCTGTGCTCTCTGCAGAAACGGCATTTTGTGGATCATCGCCGAGTGCTTGTCCGAGGGGGACGCGGAGGCAATGGGGTGAGCTGCTTTCACAGCGAACCCCGGAAGGAGTTTGGAGGCCCTGACGGCGGTGATGGAGGCAACGGGGGCCATGTCATCCTGAGAGGCAGGTGCCCTTGGGCAGCTGGGGGAGTTCACTGTGTCTGCCATCTCTGGATGGGGAGTTTGCACCTTCTTGCCCTAACAGGAATTTGAATTCAAAACAGATGTGTGGACATCATTTTATTAAATTATGTGGATGTTCACATTTAGATATTTCACCCCAAACCAACTTTCAAACCAACTTTGATGGTTTGTTGTTTTTTTAACATTTCAGGAACATAAAGACTATCAGGGAATCTCACATTCTGGTACCATATGTCCAAGGGTTAAACCTGTTACTGTTACTATCTCAGTCAAGTGCTGAAAGGGTGTTGATCACCCCTACACACATGGAGCACAAAGGCCTAGCTAACTAGTCCACTTAGAGTTAGTAGCCATTTACAACATAATAATAAAGTACAGCTATTTTCAAACTCACAATGATATTATGGGTAGTTGTGAATTTTGGGGAAACTGTAGTATTTTTTAAAAGAAAATAAGAATTTAGCTTTTTCAAAAAGTCTCATTGCTTGTTTGGTAACTTTTGCCATAACTTCATCCCATCTGCATTCTTAATCTGAACAAGAGAAACTTGATGAAATGAGATAGGTCTGCCTTTAACACAGAGGGCGGTGACGCTTCCCGCTTTGACTTCCAGTTGACCAGCATGTCAAGTCTCTGTCCTCTGTCCTCTCGCGGTACCAGGGGTTTGACGGCGAGGATGGCGGCAGGAAGAACTGCTTTGGGCGGAATGGCTCCATCCTCTACATTCGGGTAGGCCAGGCACAGAGTCCCCTGTCCGCCCTGTGGGCCGTCGGGTTCCCAGGTCCTTCGAGGGGTCCAGAGGGGCCCGTCTTCCATGGAGCAACCCCAGACGGGGACTCTGTCGATTTCCTTTTTTTTTTTTTTTTTATGGCCGATTTCATACCATGTGCACCTGTGACCTGTTCACAGTCACGAGACGATTCTGTCTTCCAGCAAGGGGACCTAGAGGTCCACAGTCCCTATCCGTAGCCCCACAAGCCTCCCCTGCCCTACCCCACTGGGGCATCTCCATGTGAGCAGTGGGTTCATGCCCTCAGCATCGCTCTCATTTGCAGATGCTCTGCTCACCCTGATGCAACAGAAGTGCTACTGGGAGAAGCCATTGTGCAGCCTGCCCCGCAGACCCCTGCGGGCCCTCCTCCCTCTGGGAGCTTGGAAGTACCCGCTTCTCTTCAGTTCAGTTCAGTCACTCAGTAGTGTCCGACTCTTTGCAACCCCATGAATCGCAGCATGCCAGGCCTCCCTGTCCATCACCGACTCACGGAGTTTACTCAAACTCGTGTCCATCGAGTCGGTGATGCCATCCAGCCATCTCATCCTCTGTTGTCCCTTTCTCCTGCCCCCGCTCCCTCCCAGCCCCTAAAAGCTCTTTGTTGTGTTTCAGGTCCCCGTGGGCACTTTGGTGAAGGAGGGAAATGAAGTCCTGGCTGACCTCTCGCGCCCAGGAGACGAGTTCATCGCAGCAGTGGGCGGGTCAGGGGGAAAGGGTAACCGCTTCTTCCTGGCTAACGACAACCGTGCGCCCACGACTTGCACCCCCGGACAGCCAGGCCAGGAGCGCGTCCTCTTCCTAGAGCTCAAGACAGTGGCACACGCTGGACTGGTGGGTGTCTGTGCATCGTGGTGGCCAGGCAACCTGCTTTCTCCTGTCAGATTCTCTTGGCTTCATCAGGAGCCCTGCTCTTGCTTGTCCCCTGTTCCCCACCTGAAACACCCTGACCCCAGCCAGTTATAGACTCTGTGGTGATAGTTTTCACTGTCTTCCAGGTTGGATTCCCCAATGCAGGGAAGTCCTCGCTTCTCCGAGCCATTTCAAATGCAAGGCCTGCTGTGGCCTCCTACCCATTCACGACCCTGAATCCCCACGTGGGGATTGTTCACTATGAAGACCACCAGCAGATAGCAGGTAGGACCTCTCAGAGGAGTGGGTGATGGTGGAGTTCAGAGCCATGCTTATGTAACTTACATGCATACTTGTTTTTCTTCATTTAAAAATTATAGTTCTTTATCAAAATCAGTTTAGATTTGCTTCCCACCCCCTCCCCCAGGCATCTGTTAGTGGCAGTTCAGGAATTTGAGTTTAAATTTCAAACCTGAGGAAATTACTCCTTTTCACCGCCTCTATTCTTCTCTTCCATCTACGGGGAATTCGGCAGCATCAGTCATGTGGACTACATGTGATTTTAAAAGCTTTTCCTGTACCATTTTGAGAGGAGAAAACTTTTTCCAGAAGATAATGTACCCATTAAAAATAGTAAGCCTGCTGGCAACGTGGTTTGTATAGCACTTTATATTTGCAGAGGGCTCTATCATAATTTCTATCAGTAATCAAATTATTAATAGATTACAGGAAGCCGTTTTCCCCTTTTTTGAATCACTTTTGAAGCCAGAGAGATTGGAATGTGTTAAGTAGTTCTTATTAGACTGATCTGTCGTCATGCCAGTCACCCAAATATTTCAAAGCATTAGCAAGACTGGAAGCTGCATTGCTTCAGATGGAATCGGCCTGGTGAATCAGCAAGGCGGAAAATTGAACGACCTCCCTCATGAGATATTCCTTGGAAGGAAAGTCTCAGTGCTCAGAGGCCCCGGGCTCCCCTCCTGACTGTCTGCTTGTCTCCTCCACAGTGGCTGACATCCCCGGCATCATCCGGGGTGCCCACCAAAACCGGGGCCTGGGCCTGGCCTTCCTCAGGCACATCGAGCGCTGCCCCTTCCTCCTGTTCCTGGTAGACCTCTCGGTGCCAGAGCCCTGGACTCAGCTGGACGACCTGAAGTATGAGCTGGAGCAATACGATGAAGGCCTGTCCAAGAGACCCTACGCTGTCGTGGCAAACAAGATCGACCTCCCGCAGGCCAGGGCCCAGCTGCCCCAGCTGCAGGCCCGCCTGGGCCAGGAGGCCATCGCCCTGTCGGTGGCCACCGGGGAAAACCTGGAGGAGCTGCTGCTGCGTCTGAAGGAACTGCACGACCACCACGTGGCCACCGAGCTGGAGCATGGCCGCCAGCCACTGCGGTGGTAGCAGAGAAGGCAGCGCCTGGCAGGCCAGCTGTGACTGGAGATGAGGAAGGAACCCCAAGGAATCAGGAGGCCTTGGTGCAGGGGCCTTCCTGCCAACCTGGGGCTCCCAGCCAACACACCCCCTGCCCCGGGACAGGACCCCTTGGGCAGTGGACACTCCAGCCCCTGCCAGTCTGTCCCCAGTGCTTCCATGCCTGCCTGCGTGTGAGTGACGCGCTGCAATGGGCTCATCTGTGTTAATTGGCCCCTAATTATTAATAGCAGGGACTACATGGTAGCTGACGTCACCAGACGGGCACGTGGACAGGAGCCAGCGTCAGCAGCGCTGACTCGTAGGTGGTGGCAGATGAGGCAGAAGTGGGCCTCTAATGCCATAGCTGTTGACACTCTTTCACAGGGATGCTCCGTCTGCTGCGTGAGGCAGGGGGCAGGGAAGCGTTTGCAGGTGCCCAGCTGTGAAGGAACAGGAACTTAGTGAGGACGACGTCCGCCCTGTCATCCCAGATGGTGCTGTGCTCTGTGGAAGCTGAGCTTCACGACTGAATGCTCCCAATATCCGACCTGGGCCTCGTGGTGGGTTATTAACTGCGGTCTGCAGGCAGGGTGTCGGCAGCCTGAGCCCCAGGGTGGTCAGGGACAGGTCTGTATTTCTAGGTGTCACTGGGAGCTGTACCCACACCTCAGGGTCCCCCAACTGCAGATGCCCTAATGAAGACAAGCCCATGCATCGAGCAAGGTGGTCTTAAATTTCTGTTTCCCCCGCTAAAGTCTGATTCCCCTGATGTGTACCTGAGGGTGAGGGGGGGCAGGGGAACAGGCCCTCTGGGAGTTGGCCTCAGGGTCTCAAGGCATCTGAGCCTCTGGATCACTCAGACCCGTGTTGTTTCTGCATGATGGGGGCTGGGCAGACCTCAAACAATAAGCCAGTGCCTCAGCTTTCAGGAGCAATTCCGTTTTGATCTGACATCAAATCTGCAACAAGAACAAGAGTTCTTTACCTGAAGCTTTATTTTAATGTCTTGTAATTTCAGAGGTCCTTGTGTTCTGGAAACCAGAGATGGATTTTGCATCTATTTGTTCTCTCAGGCCACCACAAAGAGTAAAGCCAGGTCTGAGTAGTGTTTAATTATCAACGGCCTTTCATCTTGCTCACAGGGCCCCCGCCACGCTCACTCTTCAGAGGCGGAGACGCTCAAGATGCCCGTGTGAAAAAAAAAAAAAGATGCCCGTGTGGCTGACCCGCCAGGGGCCCTACTGCAGGGGTGGGGGCTTGTCCAGTTCTCGCTGTGTCCCCCAGAGCCTCAGGACCTGACCCTCAGGGGCACCAATACATTTGTGGAATGAGCAAGTGTGTGGTGGCAGATATCCAGTGCATTTAGGTTGCTTTTAAAGACATTTAAAAGACCAAGTGGACGCCAAGCCAGAGCCCCCGTCCCAGCTCCCCGGACCTGCCTCTTCTGGCCAATTTGCTGAGTGATCTGCTCTGAAGTCTGAGCAGCTCTAACTACCTTGATCATCCTGGAGCATCACCTGTAGATCTCTGGTCCCGAACAGGGACTTTTGCTTTCTTACACTTACTCTCTGTACCCTCCCTGGATCTGCGTCGGGGCATGGGCTGTGGGGCCCTGGGTTTTCCCACGGCTTTCTCCCTCCTCTGAGTGGCGTCTGTTCGGTGTGCTCCCTACCCACTGGTTCCATCTCCCCGGAGCTCAGCCACCAGCCTCCCCGGAGGTCTTCTCTCCACTTCCTCAGCCTTCTATTCCCCCGTGAATGACGGTGGGCTCAGCGCCTCCTGGGCCAGGGTGGCTGCCGCCTCCCTGTTCTCTTCTCTCTTGTTTTACTCTCAATTCATCTGTAAAGACCCTGTTTCCAAATTGGGTCATATTGTGAGTTTCCAGCTAATGTGAATTTGGGGTCCTCTTCAGCCCCGTCAGCACCCTGTTTCATACCCAGCTAATGCCCCCTCATCGCCCCAGGCAGCAGCCTACGCAGCCCCATCCTTGCATGCACAGATCCTTGCCCCACCCCTACTTGGCGACCCACTCCCGTGCCTGGCCTGACTCCCCCTGACCCCTGGGTCCCCTGCCCTACCACTCCAGCTGTTTCCTTGCAACACCAGGGACCCTCCAGTAAGGATCCTCTGGGAAACCAGGCTTCTGTGCTGCCAATGCCCTTCCTCAGACTTGCTATGAGTGCCCCCCAGCTGGTGGCCCCCCAACCATCTGATCAAAGTCAGCCTCACCTACACGGCCATGCCCTGGGCCGTGCTGGCCTGTCTCAGGCATGTGGCCCCTGGTATATTAATCAGCCGCCACATGGCTCTTTGAGGCACAGCTCACTGGTTTGCATTGCATCCCAGGGCCAGGACACCAGAGGCAGAAGGACAGACTTGCTGGGCCCTTAGTAGTTTGGGTAAAACATACATGTATGTGGGGGTACACACCAGTGTGTTTGCAGATGGTGGAGGGCATTCAAAGGTCACGGAGAGGCGGGCACCACCCCTGAGGGTTCTGTCCAGACGGGTCAGTGGTGGTCAGGCTTGGGGGTGGAGAGGTGGCTGTGGCTCTGAAAGCACGTGAGGTGCCTGGTCATTTCATCACGTGACGAAGTCGCACAGAACTTGGGGTTTGATGGGTGGACTCAAGAGTTTGGGAAGGTGAGAAAGTTCTGGAGGTGGATGTTGGGGATGGTTGCATGACTGTGAGTGTGCCTAAGGCCACTGAGCTGTACACTTAAAATGGTTAAAAGGGTAAGTTTTACATATATTTGACCACAGTAAATACACAGAACGAAGCACACGCACTTGTGTGCACACATGCAGTTACATGCACACACGTGCAGGTGAGCAAGCGCTAGGCACTGTTGACACCATCCATCTCATCACAGGGTGGCTCTAATGCTCACGCCCACCATGGCCAGGGTATCTCCTCTAGTGAAAGGGCAACAGGGCAGAGGGGACACTCAGGCGTTGGGTGGAGCCAGAGCTGCCTATAGGAGTGTGAGTACCCAAAGAGGGGCATCTGGAGGGGTCTCTGTCTTGCAAACCTTTAATTTTCTGGAGAAAAAAAAATTTTTTTCTTGTCAGAAGTAGCCAGGCACCAGTGGGTCGGTATTTTTCCAGAACCAGGAGATATCTCCACTTTCTGCTATGGTCTTGGAATGGAGGTGGGGGTGAGGGGCAGGCTTTCTACCTCACTGTGGTCTGGGTGGGCTGCCCAGCCCATGGAACCCACTACACTTGGCACTGAGCTATCGCAGGCTCTGGGATATGCCTGTCACCCACCCCTATTGCCTGGTTTTATTATCTATATACCTGGGACGCATCTATAAGGTCCAACAGAGTAGGGGCACCCGTGGTCTGGCCTGAGGTCTTAAAACTTGCTCATTTCAGCCCCACCCTGGGTACACAGCCCCTCCTTCCCCATGTGGGATCTTCTGGGACCCATGGCCAAGGACAGAGCAAGCCTTAGAGTCTAGAGGGCCATGCCCCCTAGATGCTGGCATACCGTCCCTGGCCAAGCCTAGGGGTTCGGGCCACAGGCAGCCACCGGCCATTCACCCGCCCAGCCCCAGGCCCTTCCCATAGCTTCCAAAGAGCTGGATGGATCCTCAGAGCTCAGCTCCTCCCCCACATTGTCCACGAACACAGGGAGGGTCACCACTTCGGGGAGATTTGAATTTCAGACTTGCAACAAAGAATGCGGTATTTAGCCACCAGATTATTCGTTGTGACTCTGAAATCCAGTTTGCACTGAGCTCCTGCGTTTTATCTGATGGCGGAAGTGAAGGGGTGAAGCAGGGGGAGGTTGTGCAAACACATCCCTATTGACACTGGCCCTGGAGGGAAGGCTTTGGGACTGGGCCACCTGGGGGAGAGGCTCCACCCCACCAGGGTCCTGCCTTCTTCCCGTCCCTGGAGGGGCAGAGGGCCAACTCTGATGGCCCATGCCAGGGTTGCACCAAGTGCTTACCTTCAGCCAGCTGCCCCCTGGTGTCCTTGGGTGGCCCACCAGTAGTGACCCCCTCCCTCAGATGGTGGCGCTGGCCCACATGGCCGCTTTCCCCCGATGAGGTCGGGCCAGCCGGCTCATCAGGACCACAGAGGGATGTCTGCAGTCCATAGCTGATTAGGTGGCCTCTGGGGAGCACCCAGCGCTGGTCCCGGGAATCCTCCGTGTGACCCACAGAGCTGCCAACCCAGCATGGGGGTTCCATCCAGGAGCTCAGACTGAGGGATATTGACTTCCATCAATGATCTGGGATCCTCAGTGACATGGGCCTCTGACTCAGGGCCCCGCGGGAGCTCAGGACAGTGTGCAGACACCATCCATCCTCGGCCCTCCCCCACCTGGGGTGTCTCGCAGCCTGAAACACTTGGGTTAGAGTTTGACTCCTTTCGATTCAAAGACGGCCCTCTGTTAAAGTGCACATCTGCCCATCACACTTTAGTATGAATTAATAGGTTTGAGGAGCTGGGATGAGGGGCAGACAATTCCCAGGCAGAGAAGAGCCTCGGCTGACACAGGAAGCCCTGGGCCCTGAAGGGCATCACGGAGGGGCCAGCAAGGAATAGTCCACCCACCTGTGCACCCCCGTGGCTACTTGAGAATCTGGGGTTCTGCCAAACTGGAGCCCAGGGCAGAGGGCAGACCAGTCCCTATCCTATACCTCTGCTCAGAATCAGGGCTCGCTGAGCTCTTTGAGGACTGTCCAGCATTTAAAGCAGAGCGTTTACAGATCACCCAGTTTGACGTGTTTGAATTTGGAAGCCGGTGACTCTGGAATGTCACAGATGCATTTTTAGCCTGGCGCTACCACCCCCTCCTCCCTTTGCTCCAAACCCTCCCTCCCTCTCCCTTCTCTCCTGTCTTTCTTCTTTCTCTTTTGAAGGATATTTTTGTGCCCCTCTGAGATTTGTGTCTGACAAGCTCCACAGCAAGGCACCTTCTCTGGACACAGAGCCTGCCACCCTGGGGGCCGGACGCTAAGTGCTGTGTGGGG